AATGTCCTGCAATCCCGTTCCACTGCTAGAGCAGATTAATTTACCCACAGCGGCCACTTGCTCAGTTACGCCAGAGGCTTAGCTACCGAGTGTGCAGGCTGTGCAACTGCACAGGGGGCCCGTGTGCCTGAGAGATCTGGGCGCTCGTTGAATATTAACGAGGAGAAATGAGGACAGAGGGCCCCATTCGATTGCTTGTCCCGGAGGTCAATAACGACCACGGTTTGCGAGTGACCGGAATCAGCGGCAATGCGAAACGTTCGGCGTGCCGAGCCGGTTAACGGGCGGCAGCTTCTGAGCCAAAGCTGAACTGCTAACGAGAAGAAGGGTAGTATAACAATACGTACATAATTAGATGGATAAGTAAATAATGAAAAAAATATATATCCTAATGATGTGACGATGATGCTTTGAGCCCGCGCAGAGCCATCGCAGCAGCCTCATTCACCTCCATCGTCCAGCGAGGAGTTGCCACCTCTCCAGATTTTTCCCACCATTGCCGCCCTCTCCTATTTTTCGAGGGCGCTGTCCAAGTCTTCCGCGGCGACATTGAAAACAAAGGTCCCCCGGCGGTCGTCAGTTGCTTCGCAACACATCGCTCGAGGACAATGCGTTCCCACGTAGTTCTTCGCTGATATCGCGAGAATACACATTCTACGTGACTTTACCGAAAGAACCAAAGAAGATGAATCATTGCAGTCACGAAAGCTTTAAATCGAAATTTAACCGCCTCTACGGGGAGGGATTCCACACATCCTTAAGATCATTCAACAGACTTCGGGATAAGAAGGCTCAACTAATCGAGTCTCTCACCTTTCTGAAGAGATGCCGCGACTCTAAGGTAATACCAACCGCATTTACACTAACCTCTGCTGTTGCAACTTCTCTCAATGCAAAACGAATTCTAGCTAGAACTAGCTTCGCTCTTATCTCGGAAAAAATCAGACTTACACGCACCGAACTCGATCAGTTAGACAAGACACTCTACAAATCACACTTAAAATTGACAGCAACAATGTCTACATCGGATTGGGAACATGTAGACAATATGACTACCTCTTCGGCTGCCACTATGTCGAACAAATGTAGGGACAATTTGATTTCCAAATTCAATCACCTCTCCAGCAAAAAATCGGATCCACACACCGAAAAGATAGACGTCAACAAAGTCGTAATTAATCGCAGTAACAGTTCCATTTCTGATGGTCTGAAATCCGTTTTAGCTAAAGGTCTAAACTTTGCTGTCACACCGAGACACTTACCGGTTAATGATATCATTGCCCATGTTGACGTTGCACTCAAGGGCTTGAGTCACATCTCTGCAGACGTAGCAAGATCTGAAATCGCTGCAACCCTCAAAAACGCTAAGTTGCCACCCAGCAACATCAGCAAAGACGAACGTTTTGAATTATCTCAATTAAAAAAGAGGGATGATATTGTCGTTCTCTCAGCCGACAAAGGCAATGCCACTGTCATCATGGACAAAACAGAATATAACAACAAAATTCAAGAACTACTCAACGACGGCAGCTATACAAAAATAAAAAGAGATCCCACCAACAGCCTGGTCACCAAAACGAACAAAATTATCTCTGATTCAACAGCATTAATTGATGAGATCAAACAGTTCTCGTTGAAACCCTCTGCTGCCAGACCACCAAGATTATATGGCCTTCCAAAGATACACAAAGAAGATACACCCCTTCGTCCCATTTTCTCTACTATCAGCTCCCCCACCTACAAACTGGCACGTTTCCTGGCTGATATACTGCGACCTTTCACTGGAAAAACCACCTCTGCGGTACTAAATTCTACTCACCTGGTATCGACAATCAAAGACATTTCCCTGTCCCCAAACGACCTGCTTGTCAGTTTTGATGTGGTGTCCTTGTTCACCAAAGTCCCGGTACCTGACACCATCGCTATCATTGAAGACCTGGTTCATCAAGGACTGCATACTGATGTACCCCCCCTGGTGAGACATTGCTTAACCAACACATACTTCACCTGGAATGGAACTTTCTACAAACAAACTGAGGGCACCCCAATGGGCTCCCCCCTATCTCCGGTTGTAGCCAACGTATTCATGGAAAAATTTGAAACTGACGCCATCCAGACTGCCACTCTACGCCCGACCTTATGGAAGAGGTACGTTGATGACACCTTTGTCATCTGGCCACATGGCCAGCCTGCTCTAGACCAATTCCGCGACCACATCAATTCCATACACCCAGCCATCAGATTTACCATGGAGGTCGAAAAAGATGGCAAACTACCCTTTCTGGATGTCTTAATTAAAAGGAGACATGATGGTTCAATGAGCCACTCTGTCTACAGGAAAGCTACCCATACAGATGCTTACTTGAAACCGGATTCCCACCACCATCCATCCCAGAAGAACTGCCTCATCAAGACTCTATACCATAGAGCCCAATGCATTTCCGACCAGGAACACATTACCAGTGAACTCAAGCACGTACACCAGGCTCTCAGGGCTAATGGCTACTCCGACTACACAATCCGCAAAGCCATCACTCCAGTCATGAAGAAGGATCCTCTTGTGGAGCCACTCAAAACCATCACCTTACCATACATTGCAGGGGTCACTAAAAAGATCTCCAAAATCCTGAATAAACACAAGATCCAGGTCCGATTCAACACAGTACACAAAATCCGTGATTTAGTTCCATCTGTAAAAGATGCTCTTCCAGACATACAGTACCCAGGCGTTTACAAACTAAAGTGCCTCTGTGGTAGTAGCTACATTGGAGAAACCAAAAGACATATCTCGGACCGCATCCGCGAACATAAAGCAGACTTGAAACACGGTAAGACGAACTCCTCTGCCGTGGCAGACCACTGTTACAATTCAGTGGGCTCACATGACATTGACTTCTCCAAGACGGAGGTTCTTTGCAAACCAACCGGCTACCATGAGAGATTCGTTCATGAGGCCATTCACATATACAAGCACAGAGACAATTTCAACCGAGAAGATGGATTCAGGCTTAGTAACCACTGGAAAGATGTGTTAAATCATTTCTGCTCTTAATTAATTGTAATTTTACGATGTCCTTCAGACCGCAGCTCTTTCGCCAGCATTGCCTCTTAATACCTCTCACACCACGGTTAATGGTATGGTTTACAACATGGAGCATACTAGGGCCTCGCAGCTGTCTCTCTCCCCCTCCTCTGTTCCGACCATGGACGAACTCGTCCGTCTGAACGGGGCCCATAGCTATCCGTGGTACGGAAATTTGAGGGTAAGAATCCACCCATTTTTTCGCCATATAGCATTGTGATATATAACGACTTATGGTTGGTAGCTTAGCTGATTGGAGAATATAGAGTTTATTGATAACATGAAGGTAATTTATATTTTAGTTTTTATTGGTTCACTATATAGTACTGTGAATAGCTCAGATGTGTAGTCATTTCTGTGACCAGTCACTAGCAAATCACCCAGTTATTTCAATGCTAAATTCGCCTAGTTATTTCAATGCTAAATTCTCCTGTTTGATTTGTACTAAGTGCCTCGGTGAATGTGTATGCTCTGACTTCAACGTAGCTATTTCTGTAGCAGTTACAAGCGAATCACTCAGCCATTTCAATGCTAAATTCTATGCTAATCCCATTGTCAAGGGGTGCCTCTGCGGATGTGTATGCCTTAACTTAGCTATTTCAATGCTAAATTCTATGCTAATTCCTTTTAACAATGGGTGCCTCTGCGGATGTGTATGCTTTAACTTTTAACATAGCTATTTCTGTGACCAGTCACAAGCTAATCATTCAGCCATTTCAATGCTAAATTTTATGCTAATTCCTGTGTCAAGGCTCTTTGTTCCTCTCACACAGCTTAAAAGCCGTGATCTGAACGTGGCTCTCTCACTCCAGCGCTGTCCTACCAGACAGTCTCGCCCCCTTCACCTGATGAAGGCCGCTTGTGTTGTGGCCGAAACGTCGTGAGAATATTATTGTGTTATTTTATTTTATCAATTTATTATTTTATTCTCATTCTACGTGACTTTACCGAAAGAACCAAAGAAGATGAATCATTGCAGTCACGAAAGCTTTAAATCGAAATTTAATACACAAGGTGCTTTAAAAAAAATGTAAAAAAAACTTCTCAGAATTTGCAACAACACCACGAGGAACGTGCTGCCTGCGGGCTCTGGAGACCACCTGGAGAAGATTCCAGGCACGTGCTGACATTGATGGCGAACAAGTGGGAGAGTTCAATCTTGATTTAAAGCTTTCGTGACTGCAAGAATCCATACTATTCATAATAAAGCCTACGTGTTAAAAAGGAATCCATACGGTTTGGTTCTTTCGGTAAAGTCACGTAGGTAGAAAATAAAATAAATATTTTATTTCACGACGTTTCGATCGCAACACAAGCGGTCGTCCTAAGCAGTTGAACTGCTGGATTATTTTGTCCGCCTGAGTGACGACCGCTCGTGTTGCGATCGAAACGTCGTGAAATATTACTCTTTGTTTTATTTTCTACCTACGTGACTTTACCGAAAGAGCCAAAGAGTAAAGTGGGAGAGTCTTTGACTTTTTCCAGCTATTAACATACATTTGTTACCATGTTACACAGTGTCTTATCCGTTCTTTATTCATTAAAAACGACAGTCCCATATAAGCGTTCGCATTATATTTTTTTGAAGCACCCTGTGTATATATTTTCTTCTTCCCGTGACAACGTCCCGAGACGTTTGTACCGCAGCGGTGGCAACGCTCGTACGGCTACGTTGGGACACAAAGTGCCGCTGTATATCGCCGTTACGTCCTTGTTTGGACGTCCGTTTGTTTGGTTTCTCCCCCCCCCGCTCCCGCCCCACCTTTTTCGAGCTGCGCAGGAGCATTAATCGCTGCGGTGATTCATCAGCTCTGCTACGCTGAGAAGAGGAGATACACGTGGGGGTTTTTTTCTTTCTGTAGACGGAGCCACTTAGAGCACCCCCAGCACCCCCAGCACCCCCCACCGTGTGCCTCACTGGAAGAAGAAGAAGATGATGATGATGATGAAGTCCGCGCACCGAGCCGGATTGGTGCTCGCACAGCCAATGACGACTCCCCGCGGGTGACTGGCCCCAGGCTTTGGATTATATATCGCGAGGAGGGTTTGGCGGAGAGGAGCTGTCAGAGCGTCGCCCTTGGTGCGGGAGGGACGCGCAAAGAGGCGCTGCCGGCGGCACGAACGCTCCCACGCTCATCAAGCAACGGGGCCACCTCTCGGGGTCAAGTGGCTCGAGTCCCCAGCTATTCTGGCGAATCTCGTCACTTCATATTCTCGGCAGCTCAGCGGCTGCAGGAACTTACTTCGGAATTTATTTTTAGTTCAATTGTTATTTTTCTTTTGTTTTTGCATTTCTGTCTCGCGGTGACAATGGGGAAAAAAAGCGTGCGGCAGGTGGCGGTGATTAATCGCGTGGCGGCTTTTTAGTCTCTCCCTGGCTTTAACATTTAAATGCGCGACTCGGCTCGCTGCAGCGCGAAGTCGCGAGCTCTCATTCCCGTTTGGAGTCGCGACGAGCAGTGGGAACGCCTCGTCTTGCCGGGCCTGTAAGAGAACAAAATCACAACTCTTCCAGGTAAGACACGTGACACATTCTTCAAAACTCTGTCTGCAAGGATTTATTGTTTGAACAGCATTCGTTTTGCAGCGGGCTTAATGTTACCAAGGTGAATAAAGAACATCAATAATTCCCAGCTAACGCAAGTTTGTTGCCAAGATGCTGCAGAAGGATGCTTAGAGGTCAGTAATGTGATGCGACTAAATTCCCCGGTGTCTCTCCAAACGCAACCTTCAATTCGTTCGGCCAAACATTGCAGGTATCGTAATTCGGCAACAGTGCAGAGCGAACAGCAGCCGGGCGTCCCGGCGTTCCTTCCTGGGGCTCCACAAGTAACTCCAACGTCACGGACAAAACAAATGTCGCGCAAAGGACAATGAAGACGCAAACTGGAAGCGCCTTAGGCGAGCGGTCGCCACCGCCGCAGCCGCCGTTGCTGCTCTGGCTGCTGGCGCTGCTGCCGTTCGGCTCCGGGCATCGGCATCCGCCGCTCTGGGCAGGCGAGCGCGCCGCGCTGTGCGCCACCAGGGACTGCGTGTGCGCCGGCGAGATCGTCGACTGCAGCGGCGCGAACCTCTCCTCGCTGCTGCCCCTCTCCGCGCCGGACTACGCCTCCGTCCTCGACCTGAGCCGCGGCCACTTCCCCGCCGTGTCCCGAGGCTGGCTGAGCGGCGCCCGGCGCCTGCGCTCGCTCTCGCTGCGCCACTGCGGCGTCCGGAACGTCTCCGCGTCCGCCTTCGAGGGCCTGGGCCGCCTCGCGCGCCTCGACCTGTCGTCCAACCGGCTGCGCACCGTGAGCCGCGCCGCGCTCGCGGGCCTCGCGTCGCTCGAGGAGCTGCTGCTCTACAACAACCGCATCGCCGACGTCGAGGCGCTCGCGTTCGAGGGCGCGCGCTCCCTGCGCCGCGTGCTGCTCGCGCACAACGCCCTCGCCGCGTTCCCCGTGGACGCGTGGCCGCCCGGCGCGCTGGCGCGCGTGCACCTCCTCGACCTCTCCTACAACCGCATCGAGGAGGTGCCCGTCGCGCGCGTCGGCTCGCTGCCCGCCGCGCTGCGCCAGAGCCTCCTCCTGCACGGCAACCCGCTGCGCTGCTCGTGCGCGCTCTACCTCATGCTCATGAGCTGGATGAGGCGCGAGCTCACGTCCGTCCGGAGGCACCAGCGCGAGCTCACGTGCCGCCTGCCCCACGCGCGAGAGCCCATCCGACTCTTCCAGGTGACGATGGCGAGGGTTTGGGGGGGGGAGGGGGCGACGCAGGGGAGCAGTGGGAGCAAGGAGAGGGGGGGGGGGGGTTAACCGTGCAGCTACGGGGTCCCGTGTCTTGAGGGTCGGACTGTGCATTCTGAGATCCAGACAATGCATCTTGAGATTTGGGCTCGACGATACTGATCTTTTATTTTTTAAACCCCGGTCGCACTTTCGCGCGACTCGATGCATCCATTTAATTTCCTAGTTAGAGAGCAGATACCGACGGAATATTAAATATTCATGTCCCTATAAGGCACGCTTGGGATGGAGCGGCGTAGCAGGTTATTAGCGCAGCGCGCTGTGGATCCGAGGTCGCAGTGGCGTCGCCACTCTACAGAGCGTCGAGGAACACGAGAGTCATCGTGTCGTCCGTTTAGCAAAGTATCGTCACATCGTAAGTATATTTACCCATTTAATTGTCGTATATATATAAAAAGATTATTCTATCTTGATTTGAAGCTTTCGTAACTGCATGAATCCATACTCTTTGGTTCTTTCGGGAAAAGTCACGTAGGTAGAATAATACAATGCAAAAATAATATATCACGACGTTTCGATCGCAACACAAGCAGTCGTCCTCAGGCGGGAAAAATAATCCAGCAGTGGAATTGCTGAACCAGGAAGAACACAGCGAGAGGGCTGTTCGACTATCGAAATCAATTGTCTAAAAAATAACAATGAGCGATTTACCCGTGAGCCCATGCGGCTCTTGCCCCAGTAATGTCGCCGGCCGGTTGGATGGGTTTGGCCGAGAAAGTTAGTTGGCGATGTTACAGAGTGAGTGATGAAAGTAGTAGTAGTAATGATGATATAGTAATAGGTTTTACCCTTTTAACTGGCACAAAAACTGAACACAAGCAGTCAAAATGCAAACAAAAGAGACAACTCTGATAATATGCACTGTCCTTGAATTTGATTGGTCCACACCCGAGACGGCTTTAATAAAAGTAAAAATAGTAATGATGTCAACTTTCACCGTGCCGCACGAGTCAGACGGGCGAGGAACAACAGTCCTGTGGGTTAGGCAGCAGCAAGGCGGTGAACCAAATTACACCACGCGCTGTCCCCTTCCCCCAAAAGCACTGCGGTCCTCTACGTATTAAGGTGTTATTGATCAATTCTTGAACATGGAGATCCACGTACTCATTTACTGAATCCTTACATTGGCAATGATGGTTCCAGATTGTATGTTGAGTTTGTCTCGCAGATCGCGTCCAGGTTAGAGTTGTGCACAGATGGTCCCTTGAACTCGAACTCCGCTAACGATAGTCGAGAGTGGAACTAAATAGACGCTGAAGAGACGTATGCCATTTGCGAGTAGCTGAACGACGCGCAAATTTTATACGTTGCTACTTCGTCAAGACAGATTCTCAGGATAAATGCATGGAATCGAGCGTCTGACAATCAATCTCTTTTTGATGTATGTACATTACGTTGCATGCGATGGGTTTACATAACCCCTGCAGGCACTGCCATTCACCAATTTTTATTTTAATTAAACATTGATTCTGGAATCGTATCGTGACCCTGAATTGCAACAAATAATTTAATTGCTCTGGGTGGTGGGTGTCGGGGGGGTCGCGGAGGGGTGACAGTGGGCAGGGAGCACTGATGGGGTGGGTGGGGGGGTGACAGTGGGCAGGGAGCACTGATGGGGTGGGTGGGGGGGTAGCACGAGAAATGCATTGCGAGGCTGCACCTTTGAAGTTGCTTGTTCACAGACAGCCAGTGAGTCGCACGTCCCAGGCCTAGTGAATGCGGGTACCGCTTTGCCTTTTTTCCTGACTTGGCCCTTTCTTGGCAACTAAATCACGCAAGCAATGTATTTCGTGTCGTGTCGAGAAGCTGAGCCAGCACGTGGAAAAAAATGGTTGCGGATTAGCGATTCCCTCTGACAAAAACGCGGTCGAAATTCTGCACCGCACGAAATTGCCTCCTCAGAGTGGGAGCGGCGTTTTTTTTTCCCCTCGCGGGCAGCACAAATTTTCCGTGGGCTTCATCTCAGTCAGTGACAACTTCCACTCACCAACCGGAGGCAGCCAGGCAACAGCAGCAGCAGCAGCAGCGACTCCAGCCAGCTCAATATTTAGGATCTCCCTCGACTTGGGAATGTAACGGAGGCCACTCGCGGCAGGACAGCCCGCAAACCACCTGCCCATGCCACGAGTCAAACAAGAAGTAGTGCCCAGACTACGCCACCTAAACATGCGATGGGCAACACTCATCTCTGTCGGTGTTCCTGAGCCAAGGGTGGAAATTCCACATTCCTTATGGCCAGTCTCTTTGTTAAACCCCTGCTAATGTTATTTGCTCATAAGCCATAAAGTTGTACTTTATTGAATGGCTCCTTAGGGAGCAAAGAGCAGCAGAGGGCCGTGCAGAAAAACCCATTGTTGTATTGTACTATGCCCACAAGTCTATGCCCCCCCCACCTTCACAAAGCTGCATTTACCAGCGCGGTGAAGTATGATCAAATAGTCCCCACGAGCCCCCTGGTGTGGGTAGGCCCTCATCGGGCAGTTGATGGGCCAATGGGCCGCACGTGTCCACGTGGGGACGATGCGATGCGTCGACTTGCAACCTTCCAAAGTGGGAAGTAGAATGTTCTAGCCACAGTGGCACTTGGCCAGGTGGTTATCTAAAAGTCATAGCAAAGCCATCGATTCACTCTGCTCGAATAAGCGCCAGTCCTCCACCACGCCTTTCACAACCTGCACTCACCGGCATGGCCAAAGTGCAGCCATACAACCACACGTTTATATAAACTACCAAAGTGCATACTCTCTACTCTTTGGTTCTTTCGGTAAAGTCACATAGGTGAAAAATAAAAGAAAAAATTAATAAAAACATCTATCAAAGTGCAGTCATATACTCTGTTTTTTTCGGTAAAGTCACGTAGGTTAATTAAAATAAAATAAAACAACTAAATTAAATCACGACGTTTCGGAGGCAACACAAGCTTCCGTCTTCAGGTGGAACAGTCACAGCAGAATATTTGTGTCAAGTGGACAGCTCTGAGACAGCCGGGATTATATACAGGTTAAGGTGGGATGGAGGAGCCAAGAAGGGACGTAGGTGGGGGGGAGGGCTGAGTTAAGCCGCCTTTTGTTATGCTACAGGGGGTTTGGTGGTGCGGTGGTGCACTGCACGAAAACGGGTAAAACACCCTTTTGTTATGCTGCAGGGGGTTCGAGGGGAGAGATTCACGAGTACACGCAACCCACTGAGAGCAATGGAAATGGCTGTACAATTATAAGGCAGACAAACTTTGACTTGGTTTATAACATCTTTTCAATGGTTGATGCTGTAGGGGGTTCGGGGGAAGAGATGCACAAGTACATACAACCCACTGAGAGCAATGACAATGGCTGTACAATTATAAGGCAGCTAACGTTTGACTTGGTTGATGACATCTTTCCAATGGTTGCTCAATTTGAAACCATCCTCTCGGTTGAAGTTGTGTCTGTGTTTGTATATCTGGATGGCTTCATGGACAAATCTTTGGTAATAACCGGGAGGTTTACAGAGAACTTTGGTATCAGAGAAAACAATGTCATGAGAACCCGCTGTGTTGAAACAATGATCAGCCACGGCCGAATAATTCGTTCTGCCGTGTTTCAAATCTGATTTGTGCTCACGGATTCGGTCAGAAATATGTCGTTTCGTCCCCCCGATATAGCAGTCACCGCAGGTACAACTCAATTTGTAAACACCGGGGTACTGTAAGTCAGGAATGACATCCTTTACGGATGGGATCAGATCATGGATTTTGTGTACTGTATTGAACCGGACCTGGATCTTGTGTTTGTTTAGAATTTTGGAAATCTTTTTAGTAACCCCTGCTATCTATGGTAACGTGATGATTTTGATCGGAGTATCAGGTGGTTGTTTCTGTATGGTGGGAGAAACAACTTGGCGGATGGTACAGTCAGAGTATACGTTCATCTTGAGGGCCAGATGTACATGTTTTAATTCACTGGCCAGGTGGTGTTGGTCAGAAATGCAATGAGCCCGATGGTATAATGTTTTGATCAGAGAGTTCTTTTGAGTCGGGTGGTGGTGGAAATCAGGCTTCAAGTAGGAGCCTGTGTGGGTGGACTTCCTGTAAACAAAATGACCCAAAGAGCCATCAGTCCTCCTCTCAAACAGAACATCCAAGAATGGCAGCTTGCCATCTTTCTCCACTTCCATGGTGAAATTGATGGATGGGTGTCTGGAATTAATGTGGTCTAGGAAATGGTTCAATGCTGGGAGGCCATGTGGCCAAATGACGAAAGTGTCATCCACATATCTCTTCCATAGGGAAGGGCGAAGGGTGGATGTCTGGATGGCGTCATATAACCACATGTTTATAAAACAACTACTGCATAAAAAAAAAACTCAGGCCATTGTGCATTATGTAAAAAAACAATTAGCAGTTCCTGAATAATAATTTTCTTTTAAATACCACTTCTCATCAAGTATCTCAAAGCACTGTACAGGACACAGCATCAGTCACTCCGCGTTAAAATAATCTTATTTTGAATAAATTTTAAGAATCCATTTACTAAATAAGTGCATTGTGGTCCCCTTGTCTCCTGAGATCACCATCAAAATAAATTTGAGAAACATTTTGACGGACTGATAAGGCAACAGTTGACGATGACCGAACAAAAAAGAGAGATGACCCACAATTCACCCCTTCAGGCACTGCTGATGATATTAATTTACTGATTGGCCGGGTTACGACACATTTATAAATAACGCGATCTAACCCAAAAACTTTATTATGAATAATATTGGTCGCGAAAGCCTACGTGTTAAACTGACTGCTGATGATGGGGTTTTTTTCATAATGCAGAAAAAAGGGCCGGGTTCATTCCGTGCACCTTGCTGTGCGTTCTTTGAAACGTCGGGGGGGGGGGGGTTGTCCGTAATGATGAGTTTTTCATCTCACCCACGACCCGCACGGCACGGCGAAGCCCCCCCCCCTCCCCCCATTGACCCCCCCTCCCCCCACATTGACCCCCCCCCTCCCCGGGTTGGGGGTCTCTGCGCTCCTGCACAGGTGCAGGAGGACCTCATGGGCTGCAGCCCCAACGCGTCGCTCCTCGTCAAGACCAAGTCGGAGTACAGCGCCAACGTGGGCGACACGCTGCTGCTGCAGTGCGACTCGCGCCTCGCCCTCGAGCCTAGCACCACCTTCGTGTGGCTGGACAAGGGCGGCGCGCGCCACGTGCACCCGCACCCTCGCCGCGTCGACAACGGGAGCTCGCCGCTCTACGTGCACGCCAATGGCTCGCTCGAGATCCGCGACTTCAACGCGAAGCTGGAGGGCACGTACGCGTGCCAGGCTCTCAACCTCGCGCTGGAGCTCAACGAGACGCTGTGGGTGAACGTGACGGTGGCGCCGCCCGCAGAGCCCTTCAACACCGCCTTCACCACCCTCATCGCCTCCTCCGCAATCCTCTTCGTAGTGCTCGTGTATCTCTTCCTGCCGCCGTGCGACTGCCGCTGCCGCGGCCGGCGTTGCGGCGGCTGCTGCGGCTGCTGCCGCTACGTGGGGGTGCCCGGCTGTCAGGAGGAAGACGCGGCGATGAGCATGCGCGACTCGCAGGCGTCCATCCTGAGCAACGCCACCATGTCGCCACCGACGCCGCCGCCGCCTCCGCTGCAACAGCAGCAGCAGCTACAGATGCAGCAGAAGCTGAAGCAGCAGCAGCAGCAGCAGCAGGTGGGGGAGGAAAGTAGAGCCGGGCAGCAGCTCAGGCGCAAGCTGAGCGGCGTCAAGCGCGTGTCGATCATGGAGCCCGAGGGGCAGGCGGCCAACAACGGGCGCGCGTGCGCGCTGCCGATCGACTTCCACGAGGAGCACCTCCTCAAGATCCTCAAGATGAAGGCGGACTCGGAGTCCAACTGCTCCGTCTACTCCGACACGCCGATCGTGTCGTTGTGAGGGCCGCAGATGGGAGGGGGGGAGGCACGGGGGGGGGGCTCCCCCAACCCCCCAAGGGGGGGGGGAGTCAGCAAGTTCCATCGCCACTCGCGAAGACGCTTCAGGATGCAAGGCGGACGCGTTCACGAGCGGGTGAGGTCACTCGATGTTCACGTGCGGGTGAGGTCACCCGATGTTCACGTGCAGGTGAGGTCACCCGATGTTCACGAGCGGGTGAGGTCACCCTGACGTTCACGTGCGGGTGAGGTCACCCTGACGTTCACGTGCGGGTGAGGTCACCCGCACGTTTAATTCGCAGGCGTGTATGCGGAGGCCGACAGCAGCGCGCGTCACGTGGCAGGCGTTCGTGCGCGCTGTCGTACGATGGCGAGAAAACAAGTTTTGCTGGCTGGCTTGCTGGCTCGCGGGGCAGGCAAGTGTGTGCGGTGGTGACGTCATGCCCCTTCCCCCCCCACCCCCCGTTACCAACTCTCCACCCCGCGTGTATTCCCGCGCAAATGCATGGGCAGTGCGAATCAAAAATTTGAATGGTTTGGATTCGGAAGCATTCAGGTGGTTCAGAGGTCAGAGCATTTAGCTGACACCGTTGATATCCTGGGTTCAAATCCAATCTCTCAGCCTCTGCCCGATCACCAATGGCTGCACACGAAAAAAGCATCACATTTGGTTTTGCACTTGATTCCACCAAAGTTCCAGCTCTGAGAATCGTAAACTAAAAACTTTGGCTTGATTGTCATGCTGCCATGTGACAACATTTACTCTGCATAGCAATGTGGATTGGGAAAGTGCTGCCACCCCCCCCCCCCCCCCCCCCCCGAGTCTGGATAAGAGGTCACTTGAAAATATTTCAGAAGCGATTCTGCGATGTCTCCTTCTGCGGACCGCTCCCCAACGCTCGGCGATGATGTCCTGCTCTCCGAGAGTTCATAATGGATGTTTCATTTCCTGACAGAGATTCCGAAGGTGCAATTTGGGGATGGCATTGGGAGACCTTATGCAAAAATGTCTCCGAATAATTTAAATTCAGAAGGAAAAAATTGCGACAGCTCTCACCAACCAGGCCACTGCCCTGAAGTCCGATTTAGTTTTTTTTGTTTGACGAGCCCCACTCGTCGCACGTAGCGTCGACGGCACGGGCTGCAAAAATGCAGATTATTGACCTTGACTTCTTCACTTTACCGATGCGAAGACGATGGGAAAAGAAAAAAAAACCAGGGTCACGAGAATGCAAAGAAACTATTTTGTATTTCACTTTCAAGGGTTCAATTTAAATCCGAGATCAGCCCTAAATAAAATGCAGCCAAGCCGGACGTTGGCAAAAATCAACGCCGCTGTTTGAGTGTTTCATCCCACTTGAGACTCAGCTTGAGGCATCCTTAAGAAGGATGGAATGATGAGAGGTTGGGACCAAATTTCAATTCTGCATCCGGTTTGTATATTGTGTGCTACTCTGAAGGGATGAAATGGGTTTTATTCAAAACGTAAAGTGCTTCAGAGGCGAACGTAAACGATGTTCCCGGAACACGACGGCAATCGAATAACCTCATACAAGCCACCAGTGGGAGAGACACAATTCTAACTCGTCCGCGTGAAATTCCGCAATTTTTTGCTGAACATCTCTCAATCGGCGTCGTTTTTTGAACATCTCCCCCGTCAAATTGTGACGACATCAATTCACGCGCAAGAGTTTTGTGCCTGCATGAGATCGGGGGGAAAGACCCACACAAAAATTTGACGAATTATTTGGTGATTAATTTCGTATTTTTCTTTTTTAACCTGCTATGAAGAAGGGCCATTGCTCAAAATGTAACCTTGTTGTATAATGTGTTTTTTGTTTAATTTAAGGCCACGCGGTGTCACTGTCAAATTTATTGAGTTTGGTTTTGATTTGGTTCGTTAAGCTGAGACCGTGGCATTGAGCACACGCACGCCGCCCATCTCGACGTGATCCCAGATCAGCCCTCTGTCGCCCACCACTCGCGAGCGAAACGTTTGAACGCAAAGCGCCATGCAGAATGTTACAAGCGGGAAGAGGCAACACGACGCTATTTATACAAAGTCAACACGGAGGCTTCCGCAGCCAAGGCAATGATTCGTAGTTCACCGGGGGTCGCCATTACGTCCCCTAACCAGAAAATCAACTGTGAATCAGAGCATAACCTTGATTATTATTCAAACTGACCAAGTAAGACATCTGCAAGTCAGCCGATGGCTTTCTAGCTTCCTAAACGGCATCGGCACGAACAACGGCAGCAAGTGGCATATGCGGCGGATACTTTGGTGATGCACAAATAGAATATTAAAAACTCTTCGGCAGTGTGTGGGGAACTGTGGTCGTCCAGAGCAGACCACGAAATATTGAACGACTCAGCGCCCGAGTCGCATATTGACGAAGGAAACATCATCATCATCACAGCGGTACACTCCGCTACTCTTGACGCGGGTATCTGGGCTCAACCACGTGAATGTAATGATCACAGTTGGTGCTCTACATCAACGTATCCCGTTTTTTTTTACGGCAAGGGTTCTGGACCCCTGTCTCCCTGCACCATCTTCCTTAAACCCTTGGAGAAAAAACCCGTGATTGAAGAGACACCTGCATTTGCCACGACGCCTCTGCCGGCACACGTGGGCCCTGGGTGTAAAATTGAAATATCCTCGTGCTTTGGGGGCCCCACTTACCCGTGGGCCGTGGTCGTGCAGCTGCACCGCCTGCACACTCGAGAGCTGCGTCACTGATCCCAGTTGCACGTGCCGCTGTCACACCGCTTGATAAGTTGTCACCCACGTGCTGCAGGAGCCATATACCCTCCCACACCCTCTTCCCCAAAGGGGACACAGTGAAATGTCACTGCGCTCAGAAGAAAACTAAAATAAACTTGACTTTGGGGAGTCAGTCGAGCTGCTCCGTGAAGGAGGGAAAGGAATTAACAGCAGCACACATTGGTGATTGTTCAATAATCATGAACCACGAAAAATGTGAAATTAAATTAACTACACTTTTTTATGGCAGTTTCCCAGTCGGTTAAACTATCGTACGGTATTAAAGAAAAAACAATTCTGTGAAAACCTTCAGCATGCAAATCTACTCCTGTAAGGTTATGAATTACAAATACTAAAAGAAAAACAATATTATGCTAAAAGCATCATCGCTCATGGTGTGATGTGTAATCTCAAGGTTACACGGTGATAAATATTGTAAAAATTAAATCAAGCATATTCTGTATAAAGATATTATATATACATTTTATATCTTACTGTTATATTATACATATGAAGATGTCATGGGTCTTACTATATCCTGTATATGAATGATTTTGCAAGTTACCACTGTCATATGAACGCAAATGAAAGTGCATAAAAAATTAAACGGAATAATTTTACTGGCGCGACTGCTCACGCAAATGCTTGCTGATGTTTTTCATTGCCAAACGTGCGTCAGTGACATTTATGGGGGCGAAACGTACAAATGTCGACGTCACAATGTTGGGTTTGCGGTTGTTTGGAGAGAAAGAAATGCTCCAGAAGTGTCCGAGTGACTCAGAGGTCAGAGTACCGAGCTGGCAACGTGGATATCCTGGGTTCGAATCTCGGCAGCCGCCCGTGATGAAACTGGGCTCTCAGGTGTAGTGAGTTGATGGGCTCAGCCCCATCACAAATTACTCATTCGGCTGAAGTCCGGCTGTAAGAATTAAAACAATTGGTTTGACCGTCATGTCAAACATGGAGCGCCACGGTGGCTGGATGTTAATAAACCCTGACGGGTATGCAGGAGGTCGTGGGTTCAGTCCCAACCCTGACGCCTGCTCTAGATTTGGAGTTTGGATGTGTTCTCTTCATGGTCGCGTGCATTTTTCTCCGGGTCCTCCGGTTTTTGCCCTCTGCATTTAGAAACACGCGTTTAGAGTATTTGGCTGTTATACATTTCCACGTGATAAGCCACTTCGTTGAACTATCATTTGTGGTCAGATCGCTTCTGACAAAAGAGTTATATAGCTCAGTGGGCCTTCTTACCTTGTAAAATAAAAATAATAGTTTAAATAATAGTTTTACGTGACGAATGTCAATCTCCATTTGCAGTGGGTGGGAAAGTGCTGCTCCCTACTGTGTGGGCCAGCGGTCACTTGAAGGGATCTCAGAAGTAGCTCTGTGATATCTGCTTCCGTGTGCCGTTAACTAGCACGAAGGGTTGTAGTGGCATGTGAGAGATCCCAATGGATTCTTAATCTCGTGACAAGATGCTAATAGCACAATAGGGATACAATGAAGGCCATATTACACACACACACAACATCAGCCTTCCTCCAAATACTTGTTACCTACGATCACTCAATATTTGTGTGTACTCTGTTGATAAACGCCACAGCCACTGCCTTACACCCGACCTCCAAACTACGACTTCCCAAACTCTGTTCTTCACGGCCTTACCACGATCCACCCCACGCATGTTTACCGATCTTCTCCGTCGAAAAACACGAAATAAAGTCGTGACACAGCTTGCGTGCCTGACGATCGCTAAACAGCAGCCCAGCGTGGCGCGGAGATTGCCGAATCAATTACACGTGTCCCACACGATGCAGAGGCGTGATCATTCACGCAAAGAAAGATAGCGAGCGGTACTGTGTGTGCCTACGTGCGTACGTGTGAGTCACGTCGCAGCAGTGGGGAGCGGTGGGTAAAGTGGTTAGCGCTACGAACCCGGCGAGCCGAGTTCGATTCCCGCTCACGGCCAACACCCAGCGGGAATAAATCAAGAGGTGTTAAGGTGTTCAAAGACAAAATAGAGAGACCTTTTGCAAGGAATGAAGTCTCCATGTTCACCACACGTACTTGTGGTGAACATGCAAACAAAACATGCTCCGAGAATTATAATATATGCGTTGCCTTTGAAACTGATTGTCCCGTACCAGAGACAACCTTCTTCACGACCTCGTCTAACCGGTGTCAGACCAGAAAACAACGCCAAAAAGACCAGTGACCATTATCTTAACCGTTCCTGGGCCTTTCTCCCGGTCGACTCAGCCTCAAATAAGTACCTTGGTGCGGTGTGTAAACATCGCCACTGGGGGAGACAAAGGCGGTCGGGCGTGGTGCTGGCCACCCACCCCCTCGTGTGCCGTGCCGACCTTCATAGCACCTGCTAATCGCTAACAGCACTTGTCCCAACAGTCTGTTAAGGCTACACGGGGGATCTTTGTCTTAGCCACGCAGCATGTATAGAGCGCCCATTGGAATGAGGGTAGACGTGCGAGAGATCGGGGCCTTTATTCTGAAGACATCTGGGGAAAAAAGAGCTTTATAGCTCATCGGATTTTTCCACTATAAATACATATTCTGATTTGTTTTCGGGTAGGAGGGGTAGAGAGGGAGTGAGGAGGAGGGGGTGGGAATCCCTCTAAACGGGAGGTAACCAACCCGGGGCTGCAGCCTCAAAAGCTTCTGCGTGAATCCGGCCACCACATCGTGCGCACGCACGCGGTTTTTATTTTCTCTCGCGAGGGTTTTGGTCAAGTCAGCAAGCAAACTCTGCCGAAAATAACAAAAAAAAGTCCTTGGCGCAGTGCAGAGAGAGATGGGGGGGGGGGAAGGAGGCAGTTTCGTCTTGGTTCGCTGTTGTATAAAGCACGCGTAGGCATGAAAGCGTGCTATTATTATTATTAAGTGATACATCTTAAAACTACAATTCCTTGTAAAGGAAACACATACTAATTCACTGATTACGCATCTATTATAAATTATAATACCCCCCCCCCCCCACGTCCTCCGCCTCTGATCTCTGCATCTGATGGGTCCACAGATGACGTCGTCCTGCTGCTACTCTATTTATGACCTGAAGCAGGCGGATTGCTTCACTATTCTGGCAAATCGCCCGATGATGCCGGATGTAATTACCAGCGAAACGGCGTCCTACTCAAATTGTAAATGTTGTGGATTTACTCTCCAACACACCGGTGGGCTGAAGTAGTAAACTAATTGGCACGCGTTGTTCACGTGACAAACCTTACTGGCCGTGTCGGGTGGTGGAGGGTTACGACACATTTATACTTACACGATCTAACCCAAAAACCTTTGTTACGAGGAAGCGATTTTTTTTTGCATTGTACCAACGACGCCACCTGGAGAGTTGCTCGCCCCACTGGTGCCTTGTCGCGTCGTGCGAACTGATACCGCACGCACGGAGACATTTTGCAATTAAATACAAAAAACCTCCCCCGACGTCGCCGAGTTTCAGACTCTTCACAAATGAAATGACCCCCCCCCAAAAAAAAATACCCCAAGCCAATATGCAGCCTAACGGCCATTCGAATAGAAACAAAGGTCTCTGATTGGTAGAAAGAGGCCTCCACGGTGATTGGTCGGGAGGTAGACTTTTAAAGGGATTGGACGAATAAGATTTGAACGGGAAAACGGAAAACAGAGGGTATCCATAATAGAGGTATTTGGGGTTAGATCACGTAAATATAAAAGCGTGTCGTTAAACCCGCCACCACCCGACACAGCCAATTAGTAAGGTTTGTCACGTAAACAGAACGTGCCAATTCGTTACGAGCACAGCACATCGGTGTGTTGGAGAGCAAAGCCACAACATCATTTACAATCTGAGTACGACTTTTCGCCAGTAATAAATAGAGAATCGGTTAGAGGGGAAGGACAGGGATTGGCTAAGGGAAACACAAGGACAAGAAGTTTCCAGAAAGGGGCCTCGAGGAGTATAAAAGGGGAGAGCACGAGGAGTGGAGACGTTCAAAGGAAGTTACGAGTTGAAGACAAGGACAAAGCCTAGGGCCCCCGTATTGTGGCTGTGTCCCAATAAAGTGGCTCTCATTACATCGTCGTCAGAGTCGTTACACTCGTACAGCACACCGGTGTGTTAGAGAATATACCCACAACATTTACAATTCGAGTAAGACGCTTCGCCAGTAATTACAACTAGCATCCTCAGGCGACAGCCAGATTTTGCTGTCGCCTGATTGCTGTCGCCTTATGATGTTAGTTGTAATTACTGGCGAAACGTCACGGTACTCGAATTGTAAATGTTGTGGGTTTACTTTCCAACACACCCGTGCGGTGTGCTAGTCACGAATTGGCATGTTTCGTTTACGTGACAAGCCTCTTTCTAATTGTCTCTGTCGGGTGGTGGCGGGTTTAACGACACATTGACGCGATCTAACCCCAAAAGAAACACAAGGACGAGAAGGTTCCAGAAGAGGTGGGCCCCGAGGAGTATGAAAGTGGAGAGCACGTGGGGTGGGGACGCTCGGAGGAAGCTACGAGCTGACGACACGAAGCCTAGGATCCCGTATTGTGGCTGTGTGCAAATAAAACGTGGCTCTTACTGCTTCGTCATCAGAGTCGTTACACATACACAGCAGTGTGGCTCTCAACCTGTGTTTGATTCCTACTGTGTACCCCCCCCCTCCCCCGTGTCCCCCAGGTGTCGAATTTGGCTTCAACCGAGTAACCCCGCCACTTTGCCTGACCCAACATGGTTCTGAGAAAGAAATATTTTTGTTACCAAATTGTAAATGTTGTGAGGTTATTCTAAACTGGCGAAGTAACTGCAGGCGAATTTACAAAAAAAATCAACGGATGCTCTGCACGCGTCACCAAATTTGCTAGCGTTCTATTGGGAACCACATTGTTTACGATCAATGAGTTTAGAAATGTCGTTTATATCGTTCTAGATTACCACATGGATTAAAATGTTATTGGAGTTATTTTGCATTGGCAGATTCATACACGATTATTCACCAATGTCTCTCGTGCATGATATAATGTCACGCATTTATGAATCACCTCACCCCCCAGGGAATCCGCGTACCCCCCCCCACCCGGTTGAGAACCACTGTGGTAGTAACCTCCCAGTGGCTGTCCCACGAGACGGGAGAATCACAGAGTGGAGCGCCTGCCCGCAGGACACGCGGCTACACGTGACTCGACACTGCCGGGCGCCACGGTGGCTCGGAGATGTTGACTAGCTCGCCTGGTATACAGGAGTTCGTGGGTTCGATCCCAACCCTGACGCGTGCATATTTGTTGTTTGTATGTTCTCCCCGTGGTCACATGGATTTTTATCTGAGTTTTCCCTCCACATTCAGAATCAACATCACGCGTTCAGAGTATTTGACTGCTATTAGTGTCTTTTTCTATTTTTCTATTTTTTTATTATTTTTCAATCTACGTGACTTTACCGAAAGAACCAAAGAATATGTGTCCACGTGATAAGCGGCTTCGTTGAGCTATCATTTGTGGCCAGGTCGCTGTGAAAAAGAGCTACATAGCTCAGAGGGCCTTACCTGGTAAAATAAAAAAAATAGTTTACAGTAGTTTATTTAGTACATCGTACTGAATTTCAACCGGAGCAGTGCCTGGGCTGGGCTACAGAAA